AGTGTAACGCTCGTGACCCAAAAATGGGATTTTTTTGGGCATGTGTGTCGATCCACAGAGTAAAATCAGATCGACGGTTTTGGTTTCTGATTTACCGGTTTGGGGAGCGGTTTAGGAGACACCTTAGAGTTTGTATAAAAGGGCTAGAACAGACGCGTGTTGGTCTCATTTTGGCCGAAAATCAGAGAAAGAGGAGGATTCGAGAGAGAATCAAGAGAGGTTGTGAGTTGTGTGTGATTGAGGGTGAAGGACAGCTTCTGTTCGAGTGTTTGAGAGGGCAAACGGCTGGGCAATTCGAGGAGGATTGGGGTGAAACTTTGAGGGTAAGTTCTCCGATCTCTAGTCTCGATATGGACGGAATCCGTTCGTCATTTCGTTGAATATTCGTTGAGTTATGGCTGTTTGAACTCGATAGGGTTGTGCAGACTTGTTGTTGCGATCAGTCGGCTTCGGGAAGGCTTTCCGATCGAACCAGAATGACTTAGGAGACGATCAGCCTATATGTAGAAAGCTCTCTCTGTCTAGTTTCTAAATCAGGTTTCTGATACTGATTCTGAGGTATTATCCGTTCTCGGTGTGCTTTAAAATATCAGTGTGTTGTTCCTGTCTTCTGAAATCCTAATTCGGTTTAGGTGATTTTTGGAGGAGACGAACGGCTAGGAAAATCAGGTCAGATCGGGGTGAAACTTTGTGGGTAAGTTTTCCAATCCTTTTTCTTGATGTGGGTAAAAACCGTTCGTCAATGAGTTGAGTATTTAGGGAGTTATGATCGTTTTAACTGGGTAGGTTTCTGCAGTTTTCTGCTGCAATCAGTCCACTTAGAGGGAGGATTTCCGTCGAACCAGAAAGAGTCTGGAGACGATCCGCATACCGACGTGTAGCTTGTTCTGTCTAGTTTTCAGAACCGTTTTCCGATTCGGATTTGGATAATCCGTTCGTCGTGTGCGGGGCGTTCTTGTAGGAGTCGTGTTCTTCATCTTTTCAATCATTTCGAGGTGACTGCGCGACCATAGACCATTGGATTAGGATTTGATGGAATATGATTGATTGCTGTTGTTCCTGGTTGTYTTRYTGTTTGGATYTTMAAWTTTGTGCAGGAGATCGATGAAAACGCGTCTGGAATCGATCCATGAGAGGATATGATTGATTCTGGTTTTCTGCGTTTTCTGGGCTCCGTGTCGAGCGACACACGGTATTT